ATTTTAATTTATTTTTGATGAATTCACAGTACATTATTGTTACTTCTTTTTGGTGATTTAAAAATTTTTCTTTGACCATTAAGCTCAAAATGGTAATGCACATATGTAAATCAGAGATATACCAGTAATGAAGTAGTCGGGCGTGGGTACTGACTGATATTGAAGATATAATGACCTCCTCTATGTCTAACCCAATTTTACTCATGGCAGAAAAAGTAATTTTCTTCAGTATTTCAGCACTTCTGTATTATAACCTTCATCCTTCACTGCACATACATTTGCCCTATCTTATGAAGCTATAAACCTTGTAGAAAGGGCGTGGGGGTAAGCTAAGCAATACATTCCCTCGTCACTTTTTCTCAAAGGTGGGACATAGGGTGGTCTTTCTCATCACCACTGGTACTATATATGCTGTTGCCTGTCTCTTAATCTGCAGTATGGGATGGTGCTAATAATAAAGGCTTAGCCAGGGTGACTGACAAATATCACCAACTAAGTATTGCTTTTACACTTCAACCACATGTCCCTGTATCTGCGAAAGTATATTTTAGAATATAATTCCTCTTAAAGGTCCTCAGCACTTTTTGACATAAATGTTTATATATATAAATTGTTTTGCAGTGGCTTAGGGCAAAGTGCTACATAGCTGATATAGCCATTTTATATGTCAGTATCCATTGATGGTTGTGTCCTTTGAACAGATATAAACAAAGACCTTTTCATTCAGCTATCAGCCAAATGAGGAACTCATCCCTAACTCCCCACCCTGTGCATCATGACTGCAGTGCTTTGGCTCACTTGTTGTGTTGCTTGATGACCTGTCATGTTTGGATACCCTCTGAAGTGCTATTTGTAAGGCTGGTTGTTTATTTGCTATGCAGCCTGCCAGATTGAAAGGGATTAGGAAGACTCTTACAGGTACTTGTAAAGTTGGATTTGTGTTACTATAGAAGATGTAGCAATGGGAGGCTGAGAGCCAAGCAACAAAAAGGTGGATATGTCTGATATGGTGCACACTGGTATTTGAAAAATATGCAACCATTGCTCTGTTCCCTACTGCGGCTGCTGAGAACCACTCTCCTGTGACTTATGTTGCTTTCTCTGGTTAGAGGAAGTTATTTTCAGTACCATAATGAAGTAGAAGCAAAAAGGCTAATTGTAAGTTTGTTTCTCTTGAAAATCCTTTTCATTGTGCTGCTTGTTGCACAATAAGTATAATTTGCATGTATGTGAAATTTTTACTCCCAGGCATTCTTTTGCACTGGCCCAGCATGTAGGCACACCATTGGTATTTCTATATATGGCAGGAGTTCATAAACTGAATCAAAAGCTACTTGCCCCTTCACACTCCCTCCCTCCCTCCCTCCCTCAAAAAAAAAAAAAGCAGCAGAGTCAAAACTTAAATCATTAGGGCATTTTTTTCATTAGCCTGACCCTTAATACTTTTCAAGCAACTGGCTCATCTTTGTTCTCTTTTTTCATGGCTAATTTAACTGCATATTTGCTGCCACAGCTACTATTGCTCATGCTGGGACAGCATAAAAATGGAGAGGTTGGTGCATTACTCTATGGTTATCATTTGAAAGTCTGTAGGTGATATGAATTTCCAATGTATTTGCCTCTGATAATATCATAGCCCACTTACCCTTTCTTTTCTGAATAACAAGTAGAACGTTAGACATTTGTTTGATACCTTCTTTTCTTAAGTATTGACTGAACTATAACCACTGTAGTCAGTAGTTTTGGTCAGGTCAGTTTGATTAATATAAGTGATTTGCTCCATTGACCAAACCCATCTGCTTTTATATATTTTAAGATATACCAGGGGCTGTGTTATATACCCACAAAGAAACCATAACTATAATGATAAAAGAATGGAAATGCTGTATAGCATACACTGTATATCAATATTGTACAGAATAGAAAGAAAGAAAGAAAGAAAGAAAGAAAGAAAGAAAGAAAGAAAGAAAGAAAGAAAGAAAGAAAAGGATGCAATCAAGCCACATTCAGTGCTAATATTGCAAACATTTTATTTCAGCCCAAGGGCCCAATTCAGGTTATGCATAATTCTCTAGGAACAGCTGATCCAAAGACCATTGAAATAAAAAAAGAGACTCTATTGACCTTAATGTGCTCTAGATCAGGACCAAACCATATATTGTATTGTACTATACATACATGAAGAGCAGCTGATTTTACAAGCTAATCACCAACGGAATTTACATACGTGAGATTAGAACTAGGTCCTCTAATCTCAGTATACAATTCTGAACACTTTTCAAGGAACTAGTATTAGCAGTAAATGGGAGTGACTTTAAATCCCAGGCAACAACAACAACAACAAAATTGAACTAAAAGTTGAAATCAACCCTCAATCTGTTGATAATCATTTTAGTAATTATGGATGCATTTTCAATAGCACCCAAGATTTTTGGAGCCTAAATTCCATTTCCAAAACAGATTTAAGCATTTAGGACTCAGAGCCTAAATCTGATTGACAGTCAATGACACTTAGGCACCTAAGGCCCAGATCCTCTAAGATATTTGGATACCTAACTCCCATTGAAATGAATGGAATTTAGGCACCTAAATACCTTTGAGGATTTGAGGGCCTTAAGGGTTACATCACACTGAAAATGGGATTTAGGAGGTTTGGAAAAAATTACTCAGTGTCTATTTTGACACAAGGAAACTAAAAGTATATCAACGTCAGCTAATTAAGGTCAATTTCCCGATATTATCTATGGATTGAGATGGCTAAAGTCAGGCACCCAAGTGTGAATATTTTGGTTTAGACACTTAGGGTGATGTTTCAGAAGCATCAGAAGCATCTAAGTGACTGAGCGCAGGGCTACACTTGCGAGTTACAGCACAATAAAGGAGCCCCAGGCTCAGAAGCTCACTATCCATCCACACTGGCAAGGCACATAGAGAGCTCCTACTCCACGGCTACAGCGCGGCTGGCACTCCACCTCGGCGAGTGGAATAACGTTTGCTGCGCCCTCGCTGGAGCGCCGCGGCGCCAGTGTGAACGAGGTGTTGCTTTACTGTGCTCTGATCAGCCTCCGGAAACGTCCCATAATCCCCTTAAGTCAAGTGGCCACTCCTGTCATTGTTTGGAATCGCTGCAGGAATGCGGAAATGCCCTCTGAAAGCTCCGTTGCTGCTTATCTGCTCCGAGACAAAGCAACCACTAGTGGAATGCTGCGTGTGAAAGAGAGAGGCGGGGCGGGGGGGGTCTGCTGCTGTCTGAACTTACAAGACAGCATGCTGCCATGCTCTCAGCCCCCCAAAAACCCACTCTCTCTGCTCCCACATACACACAACACACTCCCTGTCACACTCTACACCCCCCTCCCACATTTGAAAAGCACATTGCAACCACTTGCATGCTGGGATAGCTGCCCATAATGCACCGCTCCCAATGCCGCTGCAAGTGCCACAAATGTGGCCATGCCAGTGCGCTTGAAGCTGTCAGTGTGGACAGACTGCAGCGCTTTCCCTACTGCGCTCTACAAAGGCTGGTTTAACTCAAAGCGCTCTACATCTGCAAGTGTAGCCATGCCCTTAGGAACATTAGTCTCATTACTTCCAATGGGATTTCTTCTCCTAAATTATTTAGGCACGTTTGAAAATTCTAGCCCATATTCCTGTACGTCCTTTGTGTTCTTCCCCTTTTATTTTGGCTTTGTTATCAATGTAGGAATTGTACAGTCAGGAGAGCACTGTGAGTCCTCTGACATAACAAAGACTGGTGGCATGACATTTCTATCTTTGGCCTTGCTTTAATTATGTTCCATGCTGACCCTCTTGTGTAGAGGCAGTACCAGAGAGCACAGCTTTGACAGCAGTGTTTACATGAATGTTTGATAAGCATCTGTCAGCCTGAGCTCTCTACGAGACTGTGTAACACAAAAGGCAGCCAGGGACCCCTGGAGCTTTTGCCACCTGAAAGCATAATCTAGTGTGTTTTCTGAATTTCAAATCAGCACAGAGATTACATTTTAAGTTACAAAAGAACAATGTATGTATTATTTGCTATAAGAACATATTAATCAGGGAAGACAATTGCTAATTTTTGTAAAATGTGGCTTTAAGGAGCATGGTCAGGACATCTTTTATTGCACACTTATCATATATAATTGTATTTGATCCCACTGGATATAAAGTGGCACACAGATGAAATTGATTTGAATGTTGACTAGACTATTGAGTAGACATAATGAGAAATTACTCACAAACATTTTGAGGACTTCTGATTAGATTTTCATTTTTACTGTCTTCTCACACCTTCTTATGTGCCCTTTGGGAACATGTCTACAAGCAAAGCTTTGTGCTAATATTAGGGGAGGCTGTGGGGCCTACTGATTAGGGAACATGAGTCCTAGTCAGGATACCTGAGGTCTATTGCCATCTCTGTTACAAGCCAGCTGTATGGCCCCTGTCTACCTTCCTACCTTTTGCTTTCGCTAGATAGACTGTAAGCTGTTTGGGGCAGGCACTGTCTTTTACTATGTGTTTAGTTTAGCATAATGGGGCCTCAATCTCAGCTGGAGCCTCTACACATTCCTGTAGGACAAATTAATAATATGAAACATAAATTTCAGACCTATAGCGGAGATTAATTTAAACACAAAACAAGATGAAACTACATTCAAGATGAAATCAAGGGAATTTTTGCCATTGACTTCAATACGATCAGGATTTTACCCTCAAAGTTCAGGTCATCCATGTAATGGGAACAATACCATGAGACTTTTAGCTGATCATTCACACACCTTGAATATTGAATTGTGAATACTGAACATGCACAGAGAACTGTTCATGAGAAATCAGTAGGCTGAAATTGGTCCATACAAAATAATCACTGAATGATGCCCTCCATATTCCAGTCTACCAAACAACCATTAATTCATCATTCAAATCCCTCCTAAACACTAACTTCTTCTGTGATGTCCAAAACTGAGATAATCAAATATGTTTTTAAAAATCCTACTCACTCACTCCTCTTGACTTCCCTGTGCATCTTCTCTTTTCTATACCAGTCTTTTGTCATGAACAGAGTCAAGCACATTGTCAGTTCCTAAAAAATAAAGAGTATTAATTTCACTGAGTGAGCAAATCAATAAAAATCAGTCCGTTCATAAACAATGTAGGGTGGGGGGGGGGAGAAAAAGGACTGAATTCTAACTAAATCATTTGATACAAACTGTTTGCCCAGATTTACTTATTTTATTTCTTTTGTACTTATTTATTATGTAGGGTGTTCTGTACCTAAGTGGCATTTCATGGAAACATGAAGGGGAAGAACATTATGTTTGTTGATTTACCCTTCATATAGCTGTTCTATAGTATAGACATAATAAACCAAACGAATCTGTGGTGTAACTCCATTGATTTCCACTTAAATTAGAAAATGCACAGTAGCTACCTTCAGGGAAATTACACCAAGGATTAATTTAGTCCTATTTCAACAGGCACATTGAAGAAATTTGAATCTTTTCACACAGTGAGAATAAGCATTCAGATTATTCAGCTATGTTGGGCAATAAAACGTGAGTGAGTATTTATCAATTTAATTGCAATGTTCCAATTTCCTTTTCTTGGTAGGTTCTCTGTGTGACAGGATCCCCCCGGGATGTAGCCTGGGACCCCAATGTATAGAATGTCACACTATGTTCATGACAAATATGAGTACAATCATAAATACAAAACTTATTTCCTGAAAGGAAGGAGGTGTTGGGAGTCCAAGAGGAGAGATATCAGACTTGATCTTGCTCAGAGCATGAGCAGATTGTTGTGCATATGATTGAAAGGTGCAAAGTACTGAGCTGGACAGAGAGTTGAGAGAAACCCAGTCTGGCATTAATGAGAATGCTGCTACAAGGCCACTAAACTATTCCTGCTTATTTATAAGAGTAAAGCCAAAAAAGGGGAGCCTATAGTAAGGTGCTTCATTTACGTGTCAAAAATGAGACTTTAACTCATGACTCTAACACATCTATTCTAATCTCTATCCACATACTCTTCTGAGATTATTTTTACTGAGTGTGGAGGGCTAACCCTAGGACATGGGCGTGTCAAGTTCTGGTCCCTGCTTCAATGAATAATTATTTTATACTAACGGGGGCACCTCTACCATGTTTTGTGACAGTGCTGATCTGTTCCAAGGCAGCCTTCTGTAGATGCCTAAATTTCCTCCCAGATCAGGCCCCGCAGGCAAGATAGGTGGGTGAATGTCTAGCATGAGGACACTGCTGAGGTTTAGCCACTGAGCTGCTTGACAGCATCAGGATGTAGTTGGCTTTGTGCATGGATACCAGCAGACATTTAGGCTTGGTCTATACTACCCATCTATGTCCATATAACTACATCACGCAGGGATTTGGAAAATCCACACCCCAGAGCGATTTAGTTATACTGACCTAACCCACAGTGTAGACTCCACTAAGTTGATTGGAGGGCTTCTCCCATTGACATAGATACCGCCTTTCAGGGAGGTAGAATACCGACTGAAGAAGCTCTCCCATTGGTGTAGGTAGCATCTTCACTAAGCTCTACAGCAGTGCTGTAAGTGTAGACACGCGCCTAAGGAACTTTATTGATGGAAATTTAGGCATCTTCAGGGTTAGGTAGCAGCTGGGCCAAAGTTTTGAGGATTTAATATTAGACATCAGCACCTAAAGTGGCAGTAAATTGCCTAAATTACCCTTAGTTAGCTGCTTTGCTAAGCAACAATTGGCTCACTTGCACTCCCCAACCACATTGTGTGGGATTATGTAACATTAATGGAATCATGTCAAAAATGATGGAAATCCACTGCTACCAGTTATAAAGAAAACCATGTTAGGATATAGATATTCAGGCCTGTCTGTAAAGCCCTATACTCTAAGAATTTAGGTGTATTCTTATCACTTGGCTAGCTATAGAGGTATAAAAGAAAGAATCAAAATCACTGTCTGCCGGTGTAAAGTCCTTCTCTTACTGTGACAGTCTGAGGCCCTGTTCTTAGGCTAAGGCCTTTGGCTAAGCAGCAGAGGCAGCCATAAGCTGGGAAGCGACCAGTCACCTCCTCACATTCCAAACTAGTCACATTGAAATAAGGTGCTCTTTGGCTGTTAGGAATACACTCCTGTCCTGATAATGCCTGTCACCTCCAGAGAAAGGGAAGTGCTTAGAAGATGTAAAAGGAAACTTAGTCTGATAGCATCCTGTCTGGCAAGAACTCACTTATCAATAGCTGGGATGTGAAATCCTCACTTCTGTATTGTTTTGTCATTATAGTTCCCACTTTGCCATTGTTTGTCTGTATAATCTCTGTCTGGTTCTGTGATTGTTTCTATCTGCTGTCTAATTAATTTTGCTGGGTGTAAACTAATTAAGGTGGTGGGATGTAATTGGTTACATAATCATGTTACAATATGTTAGGATGTTAGTTAAATTTCAGGAAAATGATTGGTTAAGGTATAGCTAAGCGGAACTCAAGTTTTACTATATAGTCTTCAGTCAATCAGGAAGTGGGTGGGTGTGGGGGGGATGGGGTGGGGAAATTGGAATCATGTTTTGCTAAAGGGGAAAAGGGGAACAGGGACACAGGTGTAAGGCTCTGTGGTGTAAGAGCTGGGAAGGGGGACACTGAGGAAGGAAACTGGAATCATGCTTGCTGGAAGTTCACCCCAATAACCCCAAATTTTTTGCACCTTTAGACTTCGGGTATTGTTGCTCTCTGTTCATGCGAGAAGGATGAGGGAAGTACGTGGGTGAAGGAATAAGCCCCCTAACAAACCATGAAAACTTCCAAAAGACAAAAGGGAGAGTGAATGAAAAAGCAATCCAATGTTAATGAATGTTTAGCAATTCCACTCAGTGCTTGAGGTGCCATTGATTAGCCTTCCTAGCAAGCGGTCCTTTACTGTTCCCAGTTTGAAGCCAATTGGCTTTTTCTTTCAGGCAGGAACTCTTTAGGCTCAATTCTTATCTCAATTACAACGGTGTACATCAGGAGTAATTCCATTACCCTCTCTCTTCACACCAATGTAACTGAGTTTTATAACAAGAGATCTACAGGTGCATTGTTATAGGCAGTGTGAATAAATTCTGTAGAAAACATGTTTTTTAAGACAGAGTGTTGACACTTAGAACTCTTAGAAACAGTTCTATGTTATCTTTAAAGCCTATTTTCAGTTGACCACATTTTTTTTTAAATTGGCACATGTGATTGTCAGAAAGTGTTACCCTGAAATTAATTTTCATTCTGAGGACTGGATTTTCCTAACATCTTAATCAGTCAGGAAGACATGTTAGTTTCTACTCCCCAAAGCTAGATACATATATTGACTTTATGAGTGTTTTGAGTGCTCAGCAACTCTGAAAATCATTCCATAAATGACCAGGGACAAAGACAATATAAGAAGTCAGTGACAGAGCCAGGAATATATAACCCAGGAGTAGTGGCACCCAGGCCCCTACTCTAACCCACATGACATCAGTCTGATCATATCAGAAGCAACCATTTCAAGCAAAATCCAAAATAACTTATAAAGGTGCAAACCCCAGAATGGACACTTTCCTGCCCCTCGATAATCTAAAAGCTTCATTCTGCCACTGCACCAGGTGACTTCAACAAAAGGTCATGATGAACATATTAATTGAGTCATCACTGATGTGAAAGCACTCATATTAATACAGTGTTATGTTGGCATTCCTGAAGCAGGAAGTACCGTCCCACTACTCATTTTTGTCTTTCTGCCTCTTGGCTTGCAAAGTGCGCATTTTGCTAATCTTTGCCTGTGGTACAAATAATACCCTGACTAATCTTTACAAGCCAGCAATATCACAGTGGCAGAGGCTGGCACAGACTGAAGCTCAGCACTAGCACAAAAATTGATTGCTGACTTATTTCAAGCAAACCAACCCTATAAAAGGATTCGGGTTCAGTCTGGCTCTTATTTTGAGCAAACAAGTTCATCTACTGCTGGTTAGGGGAATTTATTAAAGAAGAAAAGCACATTTTCCCATTTAATCACACCTCTCCTGACACATAAGCTCTTGGCAATTAAATTCTCAGCTGCTCTCCATTGTGTAGCTGACCAGAAATAGCGGAAAGCTGACAGACAGAGATGTGCAGATCCAAACAAAAGCATCCTTTATTTTTCCTCTTAGAAGAACATTTACTTCTAAAATCTGCTTTCTATTTTAAAGCAGGTTGTACCAGCAACTTAAAGCTGCAAACAGGGACCCTGTCTAGTAATACATTAATGAATGCAGTTCCACATCTCCTGGCTTGTCAAAAATGTTGCCTCCTGTGTCCCCAGGGTGACAAAACTATTTAACTTCACTTCGGAGTTCTCAACCCTAAGAGTGTATGAGGCGACATTCTTGACAAGCAATGCAACTTGGAAGCAAAACAGTGAGAATCAATTGATTCTGATTTGAATTCTGATTCTTGATTGCAGTAGCTAATACTGATAAAATAATATTACAGAAAGAACATACGGTGACCCTTATTCAAACCCTGAGATCAATCTTTTGGGCCTTCCTCAGAGCCTTAGAATTTTCAAACAATTCTGATTATAGTGTGGACAGTGCTAAATTTTGAAAGAATTATCTCACTGTCCTCCAAAAATCAGGGCATTATAGATTAAAATAGAAATATTCCACCATCTCTGTTTATGGTTCCGAGTTTGAGAGGAGAATCCCATATGCTTGATTTTTAATGAACTTTTTTCCCTGCTAGGATAGTTTCATAAGTATATCTGAGTTTTGAAAGCAGTGTCCCACTCTCTCCATTCCATCAGTGGCATCTTGTCATCTGTACGTCTGCCCAATTGGTTCATTAAAACTTCTTCTGAACACTTAATTTTCATCTGAGGACTTGAAATTACTTTAAATTCATGAAACAATTCCTACTTCAAGAGAAGGGAGAAATTTTCAGTTGCGAATCCAAACTGAACCTTCTGACGTTTTTCCCCCATCTCCGAACTATATATATATATATATATATATATATATACATACACTAGTTATGTTACAAAAAGGCTAGTTTACGGTGACCTCTAACATGGAATTTTGCATGTGTGCTTTCTAGGTGTAATTTTCTAGGGTAATGCCCGTGTTTGCAAGCTTCTTTAATTTTGTTCCTTTCTTAGTCATAGCGTACAGGCCATAAGGATCAGTATTGCTCTGGGAAGAATGTGAAATGGTGGGAAACAGACTGGCTTAGATATCTGCTGTCACAGCAATAACCAGCAGCAGCAATGTTTATGGTCTTGGGTCAAACTTGCTTCCCTTGCTTTGGTTGCACAGGATTCTGGTTTCAAGTCATCCTGCTCCTCTGCTGGCTCCCCTGTTGGTACCCTGTTGCATCCATGCATAATGTCAGGGAAAAGAGGATGAGTGGAACTCACAATGACCAGAAATAGGGCCAGAGTTGGTGCCCACGACTTGTGATTTAGACTGCGTTGGTCCCCTCTTCCCTTATCAACCAGTCACACCAGCAGCTGCAGGACATCGGCTTCTGCCAGCACTGCGGTGAGAATCCTCCGGGTCTCCTGATGAGCAGTGAGAGTTCCTGGTTTATGTGGGCCCACTCACACTTGCCTGTTATCCAACCATGTTGTTTGACAGCAGGCCTAATATGACGGTTTATTTCTTAACCCCTCTCCAAAAGGGAAGATAGATCTCAGGAACCTGAATGTTAAAAAAAAAAATAATAATAATCCCAACCACAACCCACATGTCATTTTGTAGAAAACACAATATGTGTCGCATCTGTGAGAGAGAAGCACTGGGCAATATGCCTCACACTGAAGAGCTTGCATATGTACAAGCTTCTATATTAAGTTCAGGGTTTGAAAACAGAGACTAGATCATTCCACACTTGCCCACTTGTTTAATTTGTTTCTACTGCAGTCATTTTACATTTGAAACAAGAAAAAAATGCAATCTTTATAAAAAGCCTAAAGCTGGGGATCAGCTGTTCATTCTCTGTGCTGCTCTGATAAGGCATGCTGTGGCCAACTGTGGTGGAACATCTGCCAGGTTTTCTCACCACAGTTGTTCAAACCCAGAGGTTCACAGTCTCGACTGAGAAACTGGGGCTCATTCCATAATGCCGGCAGAGTTCAGGGAATAACATGTTAGCGGTGGTATACCAAGCACAGGAAAGTGACACCCACAAAAATAGACAGTGTATCTCAAACATTTTCCTGGCACTTCCTAAAGAACACTAAGCGACATTAATTCTTTTACCACAACATTATCTTTCACACAACAAAAGCTTCATGAACATAGTATTAAAGGTCTGGCAAAACCCAGGAAATTCTAGAGTTATTAACCTTCTCTATTATGCCTCGGTATTACAGAGTCCCAGGAACAGCAGGTTATTTTACATATAGACTCATATGTGCTGCAATAGCTTAAATTTGCACAGCAGAGTAGGTAAATGTTCAGCTTTAACCCCGTGTTTCAGTGATAATGATCCTTGTCTGTATGTCAAGTGTGCAGTAGTATTGGAAGTTTTGTATATTTCTGACTGAGAAATAATGCTTTTGGAGAAAACATGGATCAATGTTTCATTATGGAATTGAATTCAATACCTGGTATCTAAACTTACTATAATACTAGACTGTTAAAAAAGGGGCAAACGCTTTGCTATAGTATGGTAAACAATGCACTGAAACACCCCCATTTTCATGCATGTGTTCTACTTAGCAAAGCTCTTGGTAACATTTAGTGGACAATCCCACAACTTCCAAAGCCCGGAGGACACAATTACATTTGTACGAGTCAGGAAGTTAGACAAACAAGCAGCCTCCCAAATGCCATCCAATTAGGTAGAAAACTTCATTTGAACTCTGCAAAATTAAAAAAAATGTTTTTCTCTCTGTTAATAGCCATTAAGAGCTCTTTAGAGAGGTCAGACTAGGCAAGGGATCTCAAACTCAAATGACCACAAGGGCCACATGAGGACTAGTACCTGGACCGAGGACCGCATCACTGACCACTCACCCGCTGCCCCGGCCCCGCCCCCACTCCACCCCTTCTGTGAGTCCCCGCCCCTGCCCTGGCTCTTCCAACCCCTTCCCTGAAATCCTCACCCCAACTCTGCCCCCTTCCTGCCCCCACGGGGTGCAGAAGAGGTGCAGGGTGCGGCAGGCAGCTCAGGGCCGTGGTTTGGGGTGCAGGAAGTGTGCGGAGTGCGGCGGGGGCTCAGGGCAGGGGGTTCGGCTGCAGGAGGGGTTCGGGGGGCGGGTCTGGCCCGGCATGCACCGGGGGCAGGGCAGGCTTCCCGCTCCTCCAAGTACCTCCCCTGAAGCTCCCATTGGCTGGGAACGGGGAACTGTGGCCAATGGGAGCTTCGGGGGAGGTACCTGGAGGAGCGGCCAGGGCAACACACAGACCCCTGTTCCCCTCCCTCCCCCAGGTCCCGGCCGCTTGCCAGAGCGGCACGGGGGCAGGGCAGGGAGGGAGCCTGCCCTGCCCCGGTGCATGCTGGGCCAGAGCTGCTCTAGGTAAATGCTGGGGGGGTCGCGGGGAGCTGGCGGGCCGCAGAAAATAACCCCGTGGGCCGCGTGTTTGAGACTCCTGGACTAGACAATCTAATGGTCCTTTCTGGCCTTAAACTCTATGGATCTGTTATTTCAGAGAATTACTGTACTAACCCTTTATGGTTTCAAACATGTTTCATAAATAGTATCTTGAATATATTTTCTATATGTAAGGCACTAGATTGGGGATTGCATCTTTCAAAGAGAGAGTAAAGCAAAGCAGAGGTGTTTTTTCCTCATAGTCAACATGTGTGGTAATCATGGTATTATGGCAATACATTACTGAAAAAATGTATTAAATTGCTTGAAATGTGCAGTGTGTGGCTGGTCTGAGGAATCATGAGGATGTGTCTATTGCATTCGGTTGTCCTAAACAGAGTCCTGCATTTACTCAGGCTATGATCTTTGGAGAATACCAGCACTCATTTCCACGCATGCTTTATGGATGAAAGGATTAAATAGATAGCTTATTTACAGTTTCTAACCAATAAAATCCCATGTGATCCTGTCAGAAGATCTAACGGAGCATTTTTTCCCCTTTTACTCTTATGCTGATGGTATAGTTTCTTACCTCCTTTGGCTGTAGAGCTGCATTGCTGAATAATTCTGACAATGGGGTCTGCCTGTTGAGCTAGCCAGCTTTTGTTTTACCTGGAAATATATAGACAAGTGTAAATTCATAGATTTGGAAGGCCAGAAAGGATATTAACACAGGCGGTGGAATTTCCCCTGTGCAGCAATGTAATGTTCATTATATTTGCATGGTGGGGTCAGCCACGACTTGAGCGCCCTCTCATAGCCAGAGGGTGTCTCAGTCCCTGTTTTCCCCTTTTTTAGATCTCCTTCAGCAAAATCCCATAGTCTTTTTCAATCACAGCCCTACCTTAGGTCTGTGTGTGTGTGTGTGTGTGTGTGATTATCATTAAATTACCAACATTCTCAAAATGAACACAACCCCCCAAGGCTTAAGCTGCATTGCACTGCATTCCGTTGTGCAGTACCCCTCCTCCACAAGGAACTATACCTTCCTCAGGGACCACTGTAGGAACAGCTCTCTCCCTGCAGCTTTCTGGCGCCTTTGACCCTGGGATCACCCTGGGACCACCAGGTGTGGTTCATCCCGTAGTCAGGGCAGCCCAGAGGCAAGTCACCCTCTTACAGTTGGAATAAAGAAAATTATTAAAGCTGTAACTAAGGCAGCGACTTTCATTTTGATTTTCAAAAGGAGAGAGCAAATTTTATTTTTCATTTTCATTTTACAACATTTTTGAAAAAGAAGGGATTCAAACAAGTGAGCAAAACCCCATATGTAGAAGTTAAACATATGGCAGCTAGTAATATCACATTGGGAATTAACTTTTTATTATTTATTTTTGTTTGTTTATTATTAGTTTGCAGTTCAAAACAAAAGTGCCTACTTCTTGATTCAGCATGGAAATCTCTCTCTCTCTTCCCCCAGTAGTCCTGGGAGTGCTTTAGCTCAGTGCCTCTTGAAGTAAAAATATTAATATCTCATATGGTTGGCTACGGATTAAATGCTGTAGGTAGAGAAACGTGTGTTACTCATAGTAAATGCATATGTTTTTTTCCAGGTTGTAGAGAAAATGCATAGAAAATAGATATGTTTTTTCCTTATATTTGGCAAAAAAATAGTCAGTTGGCTGTGAGAAGTGGGGTTTGGATATTTTTTTTTTTTTACTTAAAACATTTTCCAATATGCAGATCTATATGTTGTTTTGTCACCCCAAAATGGTGACACATTACTTTTGGCATTTATATTTCATACATGACTCGTAACATGCTGCAGTGATTCTAAAAAATCACACAGTCTAACCCTCTGTTACACAGACATTAACACAATTTGTTTTTGCATTTGTTTCTTTAAATTTGCTTGGGTAAAATGCGTGAAACAAAGTCCATGTGACTGTGATTATACTGATGATAATTTCTCAGACTGATTTCAGCAAGGGGTACTGCTCAATATAGCACCCTCACATAACTGTTATTATCTGAACACATTGGGCACAGATTTCTTTTACTATTTCACTAGCTACCAACCCATCATTGTCATTGCCATTTTTCACACATCTTTCTGTTAAGTGTCAATGAAATCTTGCCTTCCTAGAACACTGCCATAGGCTGCATGTCAAGAAGGAAGCTGAAATAAGACTCAAACATTGCAAAAGAAAGAAAAATACGTGTGAATAAGTCACAATCACAATCACCCATGAATTTCCTCCAAGTTCAGGAACATCAACCAAAGGATAAATTTGAATATTGCTCAGTATGTCTGCTGCTGTTATATTGAATGACACTAAGAAAATGTCCACCCAAATAACATCACCAATTCCTGAGCTGAGCATAGCAATTAAGGTGACAAAGCCAGTCTGACTACTGTACAAATTAAAAGTGGTCTATCCTTTTATCCAATCTAATGGTCCTTTCTGGCCTTAAACTCTATGGATCTATTATTTCAGAGAATTACTGTACTAACCCTTTATGGTTTCAAACATGTTTTCATAAATAGTATCTTGAATATGTTTTCTATATGTAAGGCACTAGATTGGGGATTGCATCTTTCAAAGAGAGAGTAAAGCAAAGCAGAGGTGTTTTTTCCTCATAGTCAACATGTGTGGTAATCATGGTATTATGGCAATACATTACTGAAAAAATGTATTAAATTGCTTGAAATGTGCAGTGTGTGGCTGGTCTGAGGAATCATGAGGATGTGTCTATTGCATTCGGTTGTCCTAAACAGAGTCCTGCATTTACTCAGGCTATGATCTTTGGAGAATACCAGCACTCATTTCCACGCATGCTTTATGGATGAAAGGATTAAATAGATAGCTTATTTACAGTTTCTAACCAATAAAATCCCATGTGATCCTGTCAGAAGATCTAACGGAGCATTTTTTCCCCTTTTACTCTTATGCTGATGGTATAGTTTCTTACCTCCTTTGGCTGTAGAGCTGCATTGCTGAATAATTCTGACAATGGGGTCTGCCTGTTGAGCTAGCCAGCTTTTGTTTTACCTGGAAATATATAGACAAGTGTAAATTCATAGATTTGGAAGGCCAGAAAGGATATTAACACAGGCGGTGGAATTTCCCCTGTGCAGCAATGTAATGTTCATTATATTTGCATGGTGGGGTCAGTCACGACTTGAGCGCCCTCTCATAGCCAGAGGGTGTCTCAGTCCCTGTTTTCCCCTTTTTTAGATCTCCTTCAGCAAAATCCCATAGTCTTTTTCAATCACAGCCCTACCTTAGGTCTGTGTGTGTGTGTGTGTGTGTGTGATTATCATTAAATTACCAACATTCTCAAAATGAACACAACCCCCCAAGGCTTAAGCTGCATTGCACTGCATTCCGTTGTGCAGTACCCCTCCTCCACAAGGAACTATACCTTCCTCAGGGACCACTGTAGGAACAGCTCTCTCCCTGCAGCTTTCTGGCGCCTTTGACCCTGGGATCACCCTGGGACCACCAGGTGTGGTTCATCCCGTAGTCAGGGCAGCCCAGAGGCAAGTCAGCCTCTTACAGTTGGAATAAAGAAAATTATTAAAGCTGTAACTAAGGCAGCGACTTTCATTTTGATTTTCAAAAGGAGAGAGCAAATTTTATTTTTCATTTTCATTTTACAACATTTTTGAAAAAGAAGGGATTCAAACAAGTGAGCAAAACCCCATATGTAGAAGTTAAACATATGGCAGCTAGTAATATCACATTGGGAATTAACTTTTTATTATTTATTTTTGTTTGTTTATTATTAGTTTGCAGTTCAAAACAAAAGTGCCTACTTCTTGATTCAGCATGGAAATATCTCTCTCTTCCCCCAGTAGTCCTGGGAGTGCTTTAGCTCAGTGCCTCTTGAAGTAAAAATATTAATATCTCATATGGTTGGCTACGGATTAAATGCTGTAGGTAGAGAAACGTGTGTTACTCATAGTAAATGCATATGTTTTTTTCCAGGTTGTAGAGAAAATGCATAGAAAATAGATATGTTTTTTCCTTATATTTGGCAAAAAAATAGTCAGTTGGCTGTGAGAAGTGGGGTTTGGATATTTTTTTTTTTTACTTAAAACATTTTCCAATATGCAGATCTATATGTTGTTTTGTCACCCCAAAATGGTGACACATTACTTTTGGCATTTATATTTCATACATGACTCGTAACATGCTGCAGTGATTCTAAAAAATCACACAGTCTAACCCTCTGTTACACAGACATTAACACAATTTGTTTTTGCATTTGTTTCTTTAAATTTGCTTGGGTAAAATGCGTGAAACAAAGTCCATGTGACTGTGATTATACTGATGATAATTTCTCAGACTGATTTCAGCAAGGGGTACTGCTCAATATAGCACCCTCACATAACTGTTATTATCTGAACACATTGGGCACAGATTTCTTTTACTATTTCACTAGCTACCAACCCATCATTGTCATTGCCATTTTTCACACATCTTTCTGTTAAGTGTCAATGAAATCTTGCCTTCCTAGAACACTGCCATAGGCTGCATGTCAAGAAGGAAGCTGAAATAAGACTCAAACATTGCAAAAGAAAGAAAAATACGTGTGAATAAGTCACAGTCACAATCACCCATGAATTTCCTCCAAGTTCAGGAACATCAACCAAAGGATAAATTTGAATATTGCTCAGTATGTCTGCTGCTGTTATATTGAATGACACTAAGAAAATGTCCACCCAAATAACATCACCAATTCCTGAGCTGAGCATAGCAATTAAGGTGACAAAGCCAGTCTGACTACTGTACAAATTAAAAGTGGTCTATCCTTCCCTTATTCTCTATTAAACAAATTATCTAGAGAAAAACTATTGGCAGGATGTTAAATTGAGTAATACAATGTCCTCTGCTGGCTACATCCTTTCCTTCAAGCTCATATGAGGTCAAGGGAAGATACATAGCAATGTCCCAGAATTCCTTTCAATATGGGGTATGAAAGGAATTAACAGTCTTCAGATACTTTCTCTTGAAAGCAAATGTAGTACCAGAGAAATGAATGTGATTATGTCAGTGCCTCCAATGGCAGCTCTTTGATATCCTGATTCATACCTAAGGGGTCTTTTATTGGATGTCCATGGAGTAATGGTAGTCAAAAATGGTTTTCTCTATTTGTGCTTGACAGTAAAGTTTCAGATTTGTCTTTCAGATGTTGAAGTGGCAACTGTCATCCATGCCTTTGTCACCTGGAGACAGATTAACCGTACAGACTTTAAGATTTATTATACGACATAATAATACAGATTTTAAGACTTGCAGGAAAATGAAGCTTGTTATACAGGATTGTCCACAGGTAGTGCACTGTTTTCCATGATCTGCAATGTTTCCCAGTGGATTTCTGGGAGAAGTTTATTATGTTGGTTGGTACCCATAAAGACTGTTGGGACATTGCTTTGCTTACAGATTCCTTATCTCCCCCTGTGTTACAGAGAGGCTGCTGAAAGGGCGTTCTGGCTGAAGATTCCTTCACTGCAGAACTCATTTCCCCCATGGTCCTCAGGCACCCATCAGAATATGAACAAAGGTCTCTCCCTCTTCAGACTTATCCTTGGGGAGGGAGAGTGGGGATGGGGGAAGACAGTGGCAATGTGGGGAAAGGGACTGCTCATTACTGACTGGAGGAGATAGATGTAGAAGAATCTTTTGTCAGTATTGTTCCAAATCTCTATTTTTTTCTTTAATTGGTCATAAAGGGCTTAATTGGCTCAGAGTGTGAGACTATGCAGGGATATGAGGGGCAGTAAGGCACGCTCTGCTTTCCCCTACTTTTGCCTCTTCACGGTCTCCCCCCTAGCCTAAGTGCACAGGCACGGGTGAGTGCTGTGCCACTTGCTCTTCCATTCAGGAGCATCTGAGGAGGAAGCAGGTAGCACTACCTTCCTGGAACCAAGTAGGGAGCAGGAAGGGAACGGTGTCTCTCCAGATTCTTCCCTGCTCTGCTCTTGGGGTGGCCCACCTGCCCACCACCATCTACTCTGAACTCAAAGTAAATGAAAAGTCTAGCTCAAAGAAATGTAAACAAATCAGATATTTGGTCCATCTCATTTTCAGGAAAAGAGTTCAATGTTTGCAAAAGTGTTCTTTTTAACCAAGAGTAGTGCTGACATTGAAGTTTATGGGCTCAATAGTCTCCTAGGTCCACTCAGTACAGGAAGCAAGAAGGGCCACCAAAGAGCCAGTTACAACTCCCTGACCCAACTTTGACATGAGCTAGGGCCACGTAGTGACTTCTTTATCCTATCCCTCTGATACAGGGTTTCTAGAAGACATTAGGGCAGTGATGGGTTGATATAGCAGAGTGAAGCTCCACTATGCCCCTACCCTTGGTCTGTCCCATACATTGGGGTGAAGAGTGTGGGGATAGATGGTGCAGGAGCTGGCTTTGCTGAGTTACAGCCAGAATCCAGCCCCTTTGCATTGCTAGGAGGCACAAAGGTGCCGGAGCATAACACAGAATCTGGCCCTTTATTTTACTATATTATAAGCTCATTCAAAGAAAAGGTTTGTAGCAGGTCAGTGGTTTAACTGAAGACTTTGTCTGCTGAATATGGAACAAGATACTGTACATCTGTGAAATGTGTTCCTCCAGTATAAACCTGGCTGCCAGAGTCTGAATGTCCTGATGTTTCATTTGAATGGACATTCTATAGAAACCTTCTGCCAGGGCACATGCAGTTCTAGCAGCAATGAAGGGGTAATAATATAAAGAGAGTCTTCAGTCAAAGTACTGCGTGTACAGATTGCTTGCACCCAGGGGTCATATGACCTAACTCAAGACGTCTGCCACTATTGTGAGATACAACTGTTTTCAATTTAAAATAACACATGTTTGAAACAGAAAATGGGGAAGCAAAACTGAAGGCAAGATTTGTCTTAGAAGAAAACAAAAAGGTAACTATTCATAATAACTGTTTGTCACAGAGAAAGATGAATGACTCACTTTTATGCTCAGACTGTTCTTTTGGATTTTAAATCAATAAACACAATGGAAAACAACAATATTCGCAAAGCATGAAATATCAGAGAGAGAGAGAAATACTTGGCTAAGATCAAACATTATGAATAGAAGAATAAAAAGGAACAATATACAAATGCGGAAGGAACTATCCTACCGAGATTCAGAGGTTGCCAATATTTTGACAAGGGCCTCCCACATTTTTTCCCCCTTTTTTGTTATAAACCAGGAATGAGTATGCTCCACTGTTAGCTGGCAAGGAACATGCATCTAGGGCAGGGGTCTCAAATGACCACGAGGGCCACATGAGGACTAGTACATTGGCCCGAGGGCCACACCACTGACCACCCCCCTCTCTGCCCTGGCCCCGCCGCCACTCCACCCCTTCCGTGGGGCCCCACCCCTGCGCTGCCTCTTCCCACCCCTTCCCTGCCCCCATTCCAACCCCTTCCATCTGTAAGAGCCATTCACATGTGCAGAGAACCTTCACAAGGGCCAGGCACCATCTAAATCTGACTTAAGCCCAGGGTGTGATATCCTGGCCCCACCTAGGTCAGTCAGTGAGTTTTGCTATTCATTTAAATTGAGCCAGGCTTTAACTATGACATTTTAAGTAAAATTTATGTCACACATAAGCCTTGCGTGAGCTGCACAGGAATGTATTTTGCTCAAGGGTAGGTCTGTGAAGTGTTATTCTGAGCTTGGGTAGCATACTAAAATTAGCAGTGTGTAAAAGCCTACCTAATGACCTGAGTATGTACTCAAGTGGCTCGCCTGAGCCACCACCCACGCCAATCCAGCCATGCTGCTAATTTTAGCATGCCAGCTCAAGGAGAGCTAGCAAGGGTATATCTACCTGAGCTGGGAATTACACCTCTCAGTTGCTGTGTAGAATGCATCCACAGAGAGAAGGGGCAAAACACTAGTCAATCTATTTGTGTGTAGGAAGTAGGCAGCATCCCTGTTATTATTGGTGAGCCCTCTAGTGGCCCTCAATTTAATTTAATTTATTTGTAAAAACTAGGCCATGCAATGTTGTATATAGTTAGTAAACACAGTATTTGGCATATAAATGTCTTGTGTTAAGATTGCAAAAGACACAAGACTATGCATTCGTTTCCATAATCAAACCACAACAACAAAGCTCTCTGTCATGACTATAACCAAGAAGGAAGCAACATCACTGTTTAGATGTTGCTTGTAATTATTAGAACTGGGAGCACTGGCTGTTCGGAGTCTGAAAGGACAGGAAACAGGAAGGAGGGGGGAGGAGTTGAGAGGCTGGGAGAAAGCTACAGAGGGTGCAGCAGCAGCTTGGTAAAGAGGTTTCCATTTTGAAAATAAAGTCCTGTTAAAACTTGTTAGTACTTTGCCTGTTAGTACAACAATCAGTCGACAAATGAATGTATATTAAGTACATTTAATGTTGTTCCTGAAAATTATACCGGGTAGATCTAAAGTATAGCAAAGTGTTCAACTTGAATAATTTGCCATGCAGTGGAGATGAACACCTTGTAGGAAAGATCTTGGGATCTCCTCCACATGGGGAATATTATTTTTAAACACCTGCCATTTTGGTGAAATCTGATTCCTTCCAAAGGCAAAAAGGAAGTGCTCTTTGGATGTATTTTAATGAAGCTGCCTGTGCAGGATGATTTATCAGTACCCAGAGGGGAGGAAGGTGGGGGCAAACTCCGTCAGAGGCAAGGAAATCATCCAAACCTTCCCTTCAGTTTGATAGAATTTTAACAAGTACTCCCAGGAGTCCTGGAGAGCCCCCTCCAGCACTTCATGGCCTTCAAAGATACTTAATAAGGTCACTTTTAAAAGAGAGGTACTTTATGTGCACTAACTTCTCACTCTTTTCATGATATGCATGAAATAAAGTTAAGTGGATATCAGAAATGTAGCATATACACACTCCCGTGATAGGGGCCTTAGAAATCCCTAGTATAGAAAGAGATAAATAGATTTTAGCAAGGATTAGGGATATACAATTTTCATAAATCTAGGGATGATTGTTTTTCTGCACATGGAATTATTTTCGAAAAATGTGTCTTAACTCATATGACATTTGGAGGACATCGTTATAAAAGCAAATATAAGCACCCACACGTACTCAGTTTATGAGGATGACTATTTCTGATCCTGCTTTTTGGAGATGAATATGTAAAACACAACCACAGAATGTAAATATAATAAGGGGGCAGTGAATCCAGGAATGGAAACAATTTCTTATTTGTTTCTGTTTACATAAAAAGTATAATCCTACGAGTTCACAATGAGAGGGGTAGACCAGTGTACTGAGATGTACAGAGAAGCCTTTTTCTAGATGCCTGGCTGGTCAATCATCCTCACATGCTGAGTCATACTGATTGCCAGATATGAGATAGGAATGATCTTTCTCCCAGATCAGACTTTCACTTTCTTTTGCAGCATGGGGCATGTTTTCCCTGCTGGGCTCTTATGGGAATATCTGACCTAATCAACTCCTTGCCATTGTCATGTCCTCAGACACTGGTGGCACCTTGGTATCTCCCATTCTCTGCCTGTGGCACATGGCTTGGTCTCCTGAGGACTGAAATCCTTTAGTCTAAGGCAGTGGTGGGCAACCTGTGGCCTGTACTGGGCCCATGCCGCTTCCTGCAGCTCCCATTGGCCGGGAACAGCGAACGCGGTCACTGGGAGCTGCGGGTGGCCGTGCAAATGTAAAAAAACTGTCTGGCGGCCCAACAGCAGCTTGCCCTGATGGGCTGCATGCAGCTCACAGGCCGCAGGTTGCCCACCACTTGTCTAAGGGGTTGCTGAGTGAAATGTAATGTCCTGGAAATCAGACTAGATGATCTAATGGTCCCTTCTGGCGTTAAACTCTATGAAACTATGAAGTAGCAGCTCTTTCCATGGTTTGCAAGAACAGTCCGAGAAAATGACCCATCAAATCATAAATAGTGGGGATATGGCTATGGTACAGAATGTAAAGCTACTTTTGAGTGAGAGAGATGGATTAATATGACAGGAGGAAATCTCAGCCCACTTTTCACAGTAGATATCTGATAGATACCGATTCTTAAAAGCCAAGGAGAAATATCCATCTGGCTAATATTACAGCTGATTAAAGAGTGAAAAAAATTCATGAAAAATTTCAAAACTGTTTCCATTAACAAGGTTCAAAATTGGGCCATTTAAAAATATACCAAATTT